GAACAAGTACTTGCAAACTAAAGCTGCTACTATTATTTATTCAACTCTTGTAAAGTCACTAAAACCCCAATACCTTCAGAACCTTGAAGAACTCTGATATAATTCAGAGGTTACTAAAAAAGAAAATTTTATATAGAAAATCATCAAAGGTTATATTTTTATATAGTAAATTTTTTAATTTTTGATCTATTTTATATGCTTATTTGGTTGATATTATACAAACTCAGATCTGAGTTATATCAGAGTTTTTCGAGATTCTATATCTCCTCTTCAAAATAACTTAATATCTTTTCTTTCAATATCTTTTAGCTGCAAGGTTGACAATAAAACTAATAGAGCTTAATAGTTATACAATAGAGCTCAAAAAACTAATATTTATTGACTTCATTCAAAGCTCTATTTGCAATTCTATTAGGTTTTATTAAATTCTATTATCGACTCTGCCTAGCTGATTTTTCTAAACTACTAATTCAGATGGCCTAAAAGGAATACTAGTTCTGTGATAACTACTAATTCTTTTCCTCTGATTAATGCTTATATTAGTGGCCTAGTTGATAAAACAACTTGTTAGATGCTTTTGTCATGTTCAGTTAACTAACCTTAGATAAAACCTATTTTAGTAGCTATTATCAAAAGTTTGTGCTACCTCTCTACTCAGGTTTTGACAAGTGGACATCCATCTTTTTAGTTTCTTAAATTAATATAATTACAAGAACTTATCTTGAGTTTGCATCATCCAATGCCAGCTTGTATACCTTCATATAACTTATATATTGTATAAATACACTATGATCTCATAATTTTGTTAATACTATCAAAGTTACAAAAATTTTATTCCAACCAATCATCAAAATACAGTAGCTATTATACAAGTAAAATATTCAAAATTTCATCATTGGTGGGTTTTAAATCTTCAACCTACCAACATACTGTACTGCTTGGGGTACAACAACTTAACTACTTCACTAAATTGCTACACCCTAGTTTATAAGTAATTTTATATATTTTTGTTATAATTTTGTATATAAAAAAATTAGATGTAATATATCATGTAACTAATAAATTTGCTATGCTATAGTTAATAGATATTTGCAATAAATAACCAGAATCTTTCATTTTTGGCAGAAGTAGATGATATTAACATAATCGTGTAGCAAAAATAACTAATTCTAGTATGGCTAATCTTTTTATTTAATTCAGACAATTAACAATTTTGTATATATGTAATTAATAATTTATTTAAAACTCTTAAATTACTTAATATACTGTATAATATATAATAATTTATAAAATATGTAAGGGTTAAATTTTAGCTATCGATTACATATGTAATAATTTATAAAATATGTAAAGGTTAAATTTTAGCTATTACTTACATAATTATTACATTACTCATCTCTAGTCCGGACCCGCTCCGCTATAGATCACTTAGCATCCCTGCTTATAAGGGATGGTAAATAACCTGGTCATTTGATCAAAATTTAAATGACCCCAGGTCACTAAATAATGATCAAGTCATTTGGATTATTAAGGTCATTAAGGTCATTTGTATATAAAGTAATTTTATTGGTTGAATTACTCATAAAAAGTTATTGAACTTTATTACTTTTCTAATTAAGATTTTTGCCTTAAGTAAAGTTGTTCTGAATAATAAATTGCATATGTTTTGGAATTTTTAAGTCAATTGAATAACTTTTTATTAATTCACTTTCGCGTCTTACGTTTATATGAAAAAAAATTTTTTCGTGTAAACATAATATGCGAAAGTAAATTAATAAAAAAAGTTATTCAATTTATATGAAAATTTCAATATACATGCAATTTATTATCCTGAATAACTTTACTTAAGGCTGTAAGGTATAAAATGTCACGGATGATCGTGAAATCGGATGATGGTAAAATTTGGATCTATTTTATGTACGATTTTTAAAAACTTTTGGGCCTTTTTTGTTGGCTTTTTTTTTTATAGTTAGGATTTAGAGTTAGAGTTATTAGTAAAAAGAGTATAGGTGGATTTTGGTAGGACTTATATTTTCAAATCGAGACCCTAAATTTCTCATCCGTTATTAATTGATTTAGTAAATTTTTGATTTTGATATATAACTACCATTATAGACTAAATTTAACTTTGTTTGACGACCAATTCTGATTGGTTAAAAGATATTAGAATATAAACTAACATATGGGTCTTTGTCTTGAAAATCAAATATAGACCCCATATGCTAAGGTCATTTGGGTTATTTCAGGTCATTTACCATACCTGCTACTTATCGACACAACTATGAATAGTATTAGCCTCAAGTGAGTTAGAGTATTACAGAATTAAGGCACGTGCTGCTATGTCACCTTCGATTAGGGATGTAAAATTGCGTAATTTTATTTAATTTTAGAAGTTACATTTCGGATCGTACTTCAAACCAAATGATGCAATAATACCGGCCGAACTTTTGTAAATCTGGTACCTTAAACAACTCTGGCGTTGCACATAAAAGATTTAGCTGACGTCATTTGTGATATATAGTAATAAGGCTATTCCAATTGATTCTATGTTAACATAATTCCCCTTCTATTTTATAAAAAAGAACAACATATTAACCAATCAAATTGCAGTATTGGATTTTTGGATTTTTTATATTTTTACAGCCAATAGAATTACCGTATTTTTTGGTGTTTCCCCTCTTACGAATTTTTTTTTTTTTTATGAATCAATTTGGAGTAGCCTAATGAAGATAAACTGAGTTTACACGCGTCACGTGTCTCATAATTACGAAATCAATTTTAATTTAAAATTATTAGCAATCAATTTAAAAAATTGTCGTTATTATATTTACAAAATGGCGTCAGCTAAATTTTTTTATGGCCGAAGCTAGGTTTGTTTAGTACTTTACGTATAACGTGAAGAAATTAATTTTCTGAAGCTTACGTAAAATTACAAAATTATATAATTTATGTAATCCAGTCCTACCTTTGATCAATAATTATCTCGTCATAATTTGCCATTCCCTACCCTAGAAAAAAATTTCTGGTTATTTTGGTATCTAATCTTTCGCACTTTATTAAACTTGGAAACCGAATATTACCAGGATTTAATTTTTATCAGAAAGTTATCAAAAATAATCAACATTTTTGGAACGATAACCTGGGGAGTGCCGGGTATGTTTTGCAAAATTTTTTTATATGACATTCAGTATCTCAGAGATATCAAACTCCGAATAAAACGGTAAAGGTATTATGACGAAGATAGGCATTTGTGTGAGATATCATGATCCAATACTTAGATTCGAGCTATTCAATTTTTATTAAGAATCGAATCTCCGACCACTGGATTGCAAGATATATCAAGTCAGATAATATCATTCACTTTGTCATTTTTTCCACATATACAGTTCTATAAAAGATTCCAATAATTTGATATTGAGTTGCCAAGACATAATACAGAGTTGTTTGGACATCAATTTGTTTTAATTGTGACACAGTCTTATGTTCATGCTAATAAGATTAAAAAACGAAACCTGATGATACTGGTTAAATGCCAATTTTTAAAATATTTTAGATAATATCGTTATAATTCGTTATACTTTATATGGGAAATTCTAGTGCAATCTCGAACGTTTGATAAATTCTAATACTAAATGAGTATTTTGAATCGTATGTTTTGCCTTTTTACGAAAAATAAGTACCGCTTAAAGATTGTTCGAAAGCAAGTTTGGCAAAGACAAGTTAAATATTTATACGTAATTTTATCAATTTGATCTCAGAATAGTAATTATGACGCAAACATTATATCAAAAGAAATGAATACGTAATAGTGAAACCTGTAACCAATCATAGTAAATTATTGATTTTAATATATGCTGATAATTTTCAATTTTTTTTCAAATATATAATGATAATTTTTAATATATACTGGCAAGTGACAAAGTTCTTTAACGAACTATATTTCAACATTTATTATCGATAAAAAATGTCGAATTTGTATTCTGAAGACGTTTTCAATGATCCTCAACAAGCTGGATGGGTTGGTGCTGCAGTTATGCCAAGTAATGCAAGGACTTTTTTTTTTTTTTTAATGAAAGAAATTAATTGCATTTATATTAATAATTGATTCATTAATCTCTTGTGTACAGAAGGTCCGATTACCCGGCTTTCTTCAGATCAATCTATATCCCAAACAGATATATGGGGAACAGAATTTAATAGCAGACGTTTTTCTTCTAAAGTCAATACACCTGCCACTGACATATCATTTTATGCATTACCACCACAAGATGATGTTATATTTGAGAAGCCATCCCTAGTACATGGGGCTAAGGAAGCGGTCGTTGGAAAGATTAAGGTTTGTGTACTTTTCTATTATTCAATTTTTTTATTAATTAATGATTAAGAAATTTAACATGCATATATCATAATAAGGAAACGATCGGTAAGCTAACGCGTAAAGAGTATTTAAAAGAATCTGGTAGAGATCAAAAACGATGGGGAAAACGTGAAATTAAGGCAGCTAAAAAGGAAGGCGCCACGGATGTTAATCGGAGGTGAAGGTATTCATACACTTTAAGTTTCTTATAATAATGCGTAAATTTTATCTGTAAAATATATTAAGGAAATTAAGGTGTACGAATACTTTTATAGAAGACGGTTATTTAATAGGCATTTTTAATATATTTGAAACATATCGATATTGAACAAACATTATTAGTTAATAAGTTAATAGTATCCACATACTTGCGACTTTCTATGTCGATACCTAATGGCTGAACATATCGGCTTAGAGAGTCTAATTTTGTAATGGTCAAATTATTTAAAGAGAATGACGTATTTGTTGCGTAATGTTCACGTGATAATATTTATGATTCACAAGTACATACGCACATACGTACGTATTACGTGTAATAAAGATTATTTACAAGTTACAATTAATAATTATATAAAACAAAAAAGGTAATTAAAATTAATATTAATATTATTAATGAAATAAATTAATTCCACCAAATCAACCTTCTATTCGTTAAAATTGCAGCCAAATCAACCGGTAATTTGTAAGGATATATACCATGCCAAAACCAATGGTTTGAACAGCTTATTAAAAAATTGCGTACCATTTTCATATCTATTTCTATACAGATATCCTCACATCTTTCATAGAAATTCTGGTACCAATTCCAATGTTTTAAGTAAATATGCTGTTTGACATTAACATAATTATATAACATTGTCGAATTGTCTACATAATCTAAACTATTGTCATTATTGTCAGTAGACCTCCAATTGCCACTATAGTTATTAAGCCTCAAATTGTCATTATTGTTATTAAACCTCAAATTTTCATTATTGTTA